AAACAAATTTCGCTGTAAACAAACAGCGTCATTTCTTAGACAAGAAAAAAAATGGAAAATATTTAAATTTCGCAAGCTCAGTGCGCTGACTTTTGAATGACATTCGGCTGACTGGTGTGACTCATCGATGGAACAGCTGCAGCTGCAGCTGGTTGCCAGCGAACTGCGCCGTGGCGCACTGGCTGTGCAATTGCGGGAAATATGCAGCGAACGCTGTTGTTGTTGTCGCTGCTGTTGTGTGTGAAGCGCTGCTTGCATGGCACTTTGACATTTCATTACGACGACTAACCGCCAGCTGTCAACTTCCACAACGCTACGTTTCTTAGGACTAACAATTTAACTACTTGCACACACAACGCTACATATCCTCACACATACATACATTAATTCATATACAACTAAACGCCAAAGTGTGCACTGCAAACTACTTCACAGCCGCAGCCAAACCATCCAAGTATACTGTCAGGCGATTCCACCCCCCACCGGCCTCCTCATGTTGTGTTAAGCGCAGTGAGGAAATTCTCCACGCGCGCCTCATCCAACGCCGCCGTCGTGCTTTCCTCGTTCAACAGATCACTGATCGAGTACGCGGAGAGTGGGCGTGACAGGCGACGCTGTGATAGTATATCATCGATGGAGGTGACTGGCGACAGTGATTTGCAGCCGGCATAAATGAAATTCTCGCTCTTCTCGGCATTGCGAGCAATCGCTGCGAAAATATCCTCCAAACTGGATTTCATACTCAACTGTGGCCGGAAGAGTACCGGCGAGGCGAGTGGTGATGACGATAGTGGCGCCGGTGATTCGGAGCGTGATGAGGATGCAGCTGGCGACGCTGTTGATGGCGTAGTGGAAGTGCCAGCGCCGTAGGCCAGCGAATTGGGCGCCTCGCGTCGCGCACGTCGTTGTGGCGGTGATTCGTGGCGCGTACTCCACGTGTTGTGATCTTCATCGGCGTTTGCTTGTTGCAGCAAACTCAGCGAACTCTCCAGCTGCTCCTGCGAAAGGAGCTGAGAGAGGCGCGAGGCGTTAAGCGCGGACTTTGGCGGTGTAACCGCTGCAGTTGGCGTATCGTCTGCATCCTGACACTGTATGGTCGGTGTGACGCGATTGATTTTCTTGCCCAACAACACTGGCGCTACGGTTACTGTGGGCACGTTCTCGAACAATTTTGCAATTTGATTGACATGTGTGTTGGTTTGTATGGAAGCAGGTTCTACCTGTCGCTTGATATGATTGGCGTGCGTATCCTGCCGTTTGGCGTAGTGCGTTTCTGTGGTGCCCGCTGTGCTGTGCCGCTTCGGGTAGACGCGTGTAACGGCCTTGCGTGGCTTTGGCTTGGGCATAGGCTCGCCCAGTGTGTGACAGCAAATGTCCGGCGCATAGCAGCGATGGTATTTGTGACGATTGGCCTCGTAGTCGGCATCGGCGAAGGTCTTAATGCGGCACAGGGATTTGGGTATGAGTGTAAGAAAGACGAATGTGTAGAGGAGGTAGGGGAAGTAAACACAGAAGGTCTCCAGATATGCGAGGTATTCGTGGTAATCGAAATCCATGGCTATTGCTGCAGTTGATTGATATGTATTGTGTTGATGTTTTGTATTTATGCGTAGTCTTTTTCGTTTTACAAATAAGGAAACGTTTCTTAGTTGAAGTATTTTTTATCACAAGCGCTTTTTATGAAATTCGCAAAGTCTTAGTATTCTTTTACCGTTAACTTTTTCAAATGTAATTGCTTTCGCACGTTTTCGATTCTGTAAAATAGAACGACGTGGTGAATTTTTTTCTTAGTTTTGGTGAGAACTGGCGCATTTGTGTTCTTAATTGTAATTGTTCATATTGCCACACGTTCTTCGACAAGCTTCTTGTAAATTAGGCGGTGACATAAGAGAGTCTTTCCGATGAAAATAAAATTCGTTTAAAAATATTTTATTTTTAATGTATTTTTATAAATTGCTTAATGAACTCAATATATTTACATACATAGTTTAACGTAATTTTATTTGATTTCAATCTTTACTTTTTCATTTATTGAAATTTTAAATTTTTTTATATTTTTTATTTTTTATGTACCTTTGTTATGTGCCTTATGTTTTTATTTGTATTTTAAGTTTTGTTTTATTTTATTTTGTTTTAGTTCATTTTATTTTACTTAATTTTGTGTTATTATATTAGTATTTTCGGGTTTACTTTAACTTTATTTTGAAATTTATGTCATACCGATTTGGCGTTAATATAATCTGTCAAAACACTGTGTGGAAACTTTTCATTGCAGAACCCCGATTCTGTCTAGCACCTGCCTGGATTTCCTAGTTAGAAAATATACAAAAATTTATCTGCCTCTAGAGAACCACACTAAAATTACCATTTCTAGATAGCTATAGGGATGTCAAAAAGTATAAAATAATCGATTAATTAATCACTAGCCAAAAACAATTGATTGCAATTATTGAGAAATAATCGATTAATCGAATTTTGAAAGGAAATTTTTTTGCAGTGAGTATTCACAAAAACATTTTTCCATAAAAATTTCTAATTCTCTTTTTAATTAGCCTTAAATAAAATGAAACGATTATTTTTAGCGGCGAAAGTTATTGATTATTTAACCAAGTTTGCAAAAACATAAGCTTTGATAAGCGTTTTGTTGTTAAGCGGCACAGTTTCTCGGTGGCTGTAGCACCAGCTTTTGAAAAAATGCGCTCAGCAGGCACTAGGACTGCCAACATTTTCTAAGATATTTATAGTACTTTTACAAAAAAATCTGAATATTTTTTTTGTGTAAATAAATATGTACATAGGCGTAGTATCTATGCACGCCGATAACTTTTGACTACGTGAACCGATTTCCGATGATCCTCTTTTTATTCGAAGTATCCAGTCTCAACGTTGGTTTCATATTTGGTACAGTTGTGGAGATTGCATCATTGTCAAAATAACGGCACATTTGGTTTTTATTTTGACCACGTACGCAATACCCGTGCATAATTGACGTCGGTTGCACTTGTTTTTTAATTAATTGTAGAAAAAATGGCCTGAGCGGATTGTTATCAAGCATTCGCTTCATAATGATAAGATAGCAAAATGTTTGTTCATCTTTACAGTGAGAGCGTCAACGCCGATGACCAAGTATTGCCAAAATACAGCAAAATGATTCGTGTGCTTACATATATACATGTCTGTATGTATGTACATTACAATGTACCACCTGAGAGGGAAACAAAAACAAGTTCGCCGTACACTGAAATCACAGACAGAGACCCTTAGGCGTTTTTACATTTTTCTGCAATAAAAAATGTTACATAGTTTTACTGGAATAATCAAAATACTTCCCTAGTAAAAGTTTAATGACTTTTGCGAGCTTAGTTTACTGATATAATGGTGGTACGTTAGGTTGGTTGGAACTAAGATCTGGTGGGTAAATACCTCAAGTCCGGTCAATGAACTTCGGAACAAAAAAAAAATTGTCCCCTCGAAACAAAAACATCACTACTTGAACTATGTTTCGAGTATTTACTCGTATCGGAACCACCCTATGAATTACAAATGTTGTTTATTTTGATCCAGTTGCGAATCGAGTCATAACTGAAAATGTGATTAAAAAATTAGTTATAAAATCCCGATTAAACGTAAAACGGGCCCACACCATCACCAACAAATTTTGCTAGTCCGGCGTCCGGACATAAAACCAGTATTTTGTTTAATGACTAGTCAATTTTTCCCACTTTCGGTCCATAAAAATCACTAGATTCTCTAGATATGTACTGTGCTAGTAATGATGCTAGTAAGCCAGATATTTTTTATTAGTTAAATATATTTAATATTTATGATTTTTCATTTTATAAATTGCGATGTTAAATTTTTCATTATTCCTTTATATTTTTTTGTTTCCGTTATATTTCGGTCTACTAAAAATATCTATTGCACAATTTTATTGAGCTTCAGACCGGCATTCTTATTATTTAATTTAAATAAATTAAATTTATTAAATAATTAATTTTTTTTTTAGATTTTATTCCTTTTTAATTCTATTTTTGGTGTTAACTTGGTTGAAAATTAAGCACGATTTTTGAGAACTGCAAAGTTTGTGTCGTTGTGCTAAAAGTTTCACTTGCTGTTTGTTGATAACTAAAGCGTTATTTTAATCGGTTTAAAGATTCAACAACATTTTTATTCAGCAGAGTCAAAATGTGGCACGTGCTGAGCTAGTGATTTACAATAATGTTTTCTTGATAAAATAAAGCACTACTAAAACCGCAAAAATGTTTTTAAATTCTCATTTTTTTTTCTCAAAAAAAAAAAAATAAAATAAAAAAAAAATTTAGGCAATATGATAAACAAATTTTATATTTTATTAAAAACAATTAATTTGTGCTTAAGCCACGCACTTATTGCGCGAAAAATCGCGTGTAGCTACTTTGGTTTGAAATCCACTACTAAACTATAAATTCGGCAGTCATACTTTAATATTTGTACGGCCGCATTCTAATTCTACCGGCAAAATTATGCATATTGCATGATTGAAATGCATTCTAGGTGAATGCGTGTGTATGTATATGAGTATTTTAAGAAATATTAAAAAAAAAAAAAAAACGAAACCAAATTTTTTTTTTTAACTATAAATCACGTCAAAAATGCTTTCAAGCGAATATTTGCCAGCAAGCGAGCAGTAGCATCTTCCACGGCGCGCCCACGCCGTATCCGATTGCAAGCGGCATACTTTTTTTTTTTGATTTCCAAATTTGCAATGTCGCATAGAGGCAATTTTTGCGTGTTCACTACATTTTTAATATTTTTGTTTTTTTTTTGGTTTGTTACACAAACATAAAAAAAAATAAAAAAAATTGCAAATTTGAAAAATTCTTAAAAATATTAAAAAACCATACACACACTCATCTGCTTTATTTTGCAATGTTTACGGTTTTAATTTGCTTCGACGCTTCTAAACAATTTCATATTTTATATTTTTATGGGGTTTTTTTTTTTTGCTTATTCATAAGTTTACTTCAAATTACTTTTTATAGCATCTCTTCTACAATTTGAGATCAGTGTCGTCGCGATTTGCAATATTTTCTTAAATATTCTTATAAAATTTTAGTTAAAAATTTTTTTTTTTTTGTTCTCGTTCGAAGCGCGTTCAGCCGTCGCGTTCTACGGTCGTTATGTCTCGAAATATCTGCGTTAACTAAATTCTCACTACTGCTGCATAGCTTTAATTTGCCCACTCTTGCCGGCTTGTGGAGAGGGTAATAAAACGCTCGCAATGCGGAACCGAAAACTAGTCAAAAGTACAAATACATATGTAACAGCATGTATAACCAGGTATGTACATATGTACATATGTATGTACGATTAATTTTAACTACACAAAGCAGCTGCTCCCCACCAAAGCTACTTAGCGTCGTGAGTTACTGGTTAATGCTTGGCGCTCTTGCACCCAACTGTGCTCCAACAGAGCGCTTTCCGTGCATTCGGGCAGAGCGCTACGAGCTGAGAACGCTGGCAAAGCAAGATCCCCCAAAAGTTCTCTGGCTCTCTTCCAACACGCCTACCATTTTCTTGTGAATGTGTGTAGTTTTGTTTATTTTTTTTTTTGTGTCGCTTTTTTCGCAAATGAATAATTTGTTTTCAAAAATTTGTATTATTTGTTTTCTTGTTGTTGCTAGCATTTCAAATGCCGGAACAGAAGCTGGCAAGTGCACGACGGTGAAGCTACACTTGGCTGCCTAAACACTTAAAAAAAAAATATGAAAAATTCTACAAACGCAAACAGATAGTGGACCGTTTTTTTCGCTTTATAAACATATGTATGTATGTATGTACATTAGGGTGCATGACCAAAAAAAAAATGCATTTTTCCACCGGAATTATAAATTTTTTTATATTTTAAGACTTCCGCCAAAAAATATTTCAGAAAAATGTTAAGATTTACGTAAGCTAGACCGTATCTAAAAAATCACATTACATATTTTGATATCGTTGACAAAATTTTTATGCAGACCTTTAAAGGTTAAAGTCTTCTATATGACAGCGATTTTTTAGAAAAAATATTTTTAACAACTAATTTTACCTACTTATAAAAAATCGATTTTTGGAGGTATTTTCAAATAGGTCCGGCTCACGTTAATTTCAATATTTTTCGGAAATATTTTGGCGGAGGTCTTAAAATATTATAGATTTTATATTTATTTCAATTTTTTTATGGAGAGTGATGCACCCTAATGTAGTACATATTTATGCACATTAGTTTTGGTGGACATCATCAGCGCTAAAATTGTGGTGGCCAATAGCGACGTGGCTGATTTTTTTTTATTATCCGCCTTTCTGACTGTCTGCCGGTTGACGTATTCTAATGCGAGCGTTTGCGCTGCTCCACACAGCTGTTTCTAGCTGACAGCGCATCTAATTTCATGCCAGAGATTCATGCGAATTAATTTGAGTTGGTAAGCATTTGTATTATATATTTACTACACCACCCATCAAAACATTTAAGCGTTTATATACACAACTATACGACAGTGACTCAAACCGAAAAAGCAAAGTCCCCTAAAAAGAATTCTCAAAAACCAACGCCATTTTTTAGATGGTTGTAACTTGCACTTCATTCGAGTAAAATTGTATGGGCTATAAAACTGCTACCCAAAAATGTTCTAAAGATTCAGATTAAGAAGTTGAAACTTTTATGCAAATTTCTTGAATTTTTCAAAATTGTATATTAAGTTTGAAACTGTGATTTATGTGGTTTTAGGTATTTTTATTGAAAAATAACAAAAAAAAAAAAACAATTTGCTTGAATAACGTTACGAATATTAAAAAAAACAACATGTGGTCACTTGTTTGAGTCACTGTATATACAATTTCATGTACTATATTCATATGGAAGCTCTGGACACACTTAGTTGCATATATTTCTAGTTCTTTAAAAAAATGTTCATGCCAAGAGGTTTTACTTACACAGGTACATACGGGTGTATTTACATACATACATATGTATCTCTCATGCATATAGACTCCTAAACATACATACATAATAAGATGTAAGTAAATATTTACTTAAGAGGAGACAATAAATGCCATAAATTCCATTTGGAGGCCACTGATAAAAATATTAAATATTTACAGACCGACTTTTTCTGATGTTTTCGCAAGAGGAGCATTTTAAATAAAAATATAGAGATATCCAGCGGTATGAGGAGGCCTCTGTGGGTTTACACAGCGGCGGTTAGTCCGATACTCCTTAATTGAGTTGTGGTATAATGGCCTGCCTTGGTTAGGACTTCTAATCTTAATGGTCTGCATTAGGGGAGCATCTTCTGCCACCAGATTATAGCATCTTTTGTTTATTATTTTCCCCTCCCCTAAATGTTCGTTTGTGTCTAACGTTTTGTCTCAGCCATATTGACCTAGAGAATCTACAAGCGACTCGTTTGGTCTATGTCTACCTATTTTCCCGCCAATCATTTACTTGTTTACCACACTTATGATCTATTTGGGGAAATATAGCATCATTCATTGTAATTTGGCTACTTCGAAAGCGCTTTCTAGCCTTGTGACAAATTCTTGCTAAAAATATCTATGTGAGACGATAACATACAGATACACAAATATTTATTTGTTTAAAAAAAATTTCATGTGCATATGTATGCAAGTATTATTTAGTATAGGTAGAAAGTTTCTGAAATTTGTATTTTTATTTCTTGCTTTACATTTTCCTATCAGCATGGGGTATTTCCTAAGTAAGCTACGCGCCAGCAATGATCGCTAATTCATTTAAAATTATTGTCATGATTTCGGCATTCACCCGCCCCCTCTGTCACTGCAATAATACGCCTCATTTTGGCACCTCGGTTTACTTGGTAGCATAAATACATACATATGTATGTATGTATTGAGGTTTATTTCGAATTTTGTTTTTATTTATTTTTATTATCTGTGTCATTTCGGTTAATTGCTCTAAGTAAAGCAGTAAAACTGTTGATATTTTGCGAGCATGTTCATACATATACATATACACAAAGTTTATGTGGTTTGGATTAAGAAACTAAAAGTGGGGCAATATGGACTTGGACCTCATTTTGGTACACACACCTACAGCCACATAAATATGTACAAATGTATGAAAATAAAACAGCGCTTGCGATCGTAAAAATTTGAACTAATGCACCACTAAGAAACTAAGAAGCTGTGGATAATGCGGAGACTATTAAAAAATCACTTAGATCAAGCATGCCACAGGATCTGAAATCGATCTAAACTACGACTAGTGTGGACTAGGATGGTTCTTAAAAATCCACGGAAATTTCGAAATTAAAAAAATAAGGGGGCCAGGGTTTGAAAAAAAAAAAAATCGAATCTTTGTTTTAAATTGCGACATTCGACAAAATTTTGATTTTGGACAGCTATAACTCAGCGAGTTTATAAATTTATAAGAATAAGTTTCAGTAATATGAGGAATTTATCAGACTTCAAATCAAAATTTTGTAGAATTTTTGAAATTTTTTTAGTTTTGGGGTTTTGACTGCATTTTGGAAGCACTTTCTTCATGCACTCGAAAAAATTTTCATTTATTTGAGCAGCTGGACCTTTAGATAGAGGTTAACTGGAATCACGAAGATTTGCCAAAAGGTCGAGATTTGTTAAAGACATGAAGTGAGGAAATCTTCTACTGTGAAGTATTGAGAAGAGCGGCTTTAAAAACTTGTATGTGCCTTCAGGTTCGATCAACTCGCGTAAAATACAAAATTGCAAACCTTTTTTTCTATGCATTCGATTTTATCTTATACTAAAAGCAGTGAGGAGCAAAAGTGTCCGAGTGGTGATTTTTTTTTACAAATAATAACTGCCGGTTTCACCAGCAATTTAAGTGAAAAATTATATTTCTATTCTTTCAGTTTTTATCAAATAAAAAATAAATTCTAAGTTAAATTTCTTTCTTTGTTGCTTTTCCACAATAAGATTTCCATTAAAAACGGCATCAAGCTCAATAAAAATTGTTGAATTAAATTTCTTTCGTAAAGTTTGTTATAAATGTTTTTCATGGTTAATTTTTTTGTTAATTTCTGATAAAAATATTGTCAATGCTATAGCCAAACCTTTTTTAATCAGAGTTTTAAATTAAAAGAAAAAGTTTTTTTATACTTCAAATTTATTTTAATTTTGTTTGCAAATGGTCTTGCGAATTTTATACCAAAAAATATTTATATTTGCATTGAAAAAAAAGCAAAATACTACCAACTATAGCAAAAAATAAAAATAAAAATAAAAATCAAAGCGATTACTTCATTGTACCAAAATTTCGTGGGTTACAAAACTGCATGCTCAGAAATGAGTTAAAAATTCATAACTCTTTAGTTAGGAAATTTTATGATTTTTTTAAAGCTTTGATTAAAGCGGCTTTGTGACAGCATGGGCAATATTTTTATAAAAATCAACAAAAAATTTTAATATGAAAAACGTTGTTATTTAAAAAAAAAAATTAATGTATATTATTTTAATTTATTTTGTTTTACTTTATTTTATTGTTAAAATTATTCATTTATTTTTTTAATTTCAATTTATTTTTTTTTATGCCAGAAATATTTAGTTATTTGTTCCCCGATTTCACACTAGTAATTGAAGAATGAGTTTATTAATCATCCATTTAATGAGCAATCATTTATCACCGACCCGTCAAAGTTCTTTCATAACTTATAAAAACTAACAACAACAGCAATACTAACAACAACATGCTCCTTCTTCATTGTAAAAGTTTTCACAAGTCATATTTTATTTCTTTCTTTGTGCAATTCATTCTCCACTGATTGGGTTGCATTTCTTGTTGTTGTTGTTATTTTTTCTTTCGAGGGTAGCACTTAGTCACTTGGAATTTTCTTTTTGTCTTAATTGAATTTGCGAACACAATGTCTTGCTCTTATCGCTACAAGCTACTTCACATGCCTGCACGTTGTACTTGGTGCGATAACAAAATTGCAGCAGCGCAAATGAAGGTGAGCTCAAAACAGGAACGTTAAAACACAACAAAACAGCATAAGCTGCAATAAACAAACAAAAAAAAAATGTCCAAGCGCTTTCCGTGTGCGCGCTCTGTTACCGGTGTGAGCTGCAAACGCTTTGAGCGATCGTGCTTAACTAAACGCATGAAAAAATCGACGAATGGGGTGCTGGAGCAAAATCAGCAGCAGCAGGAGAAAAAATTTAAAACAAAAATTGTGGAGCATTCAATGCAGTGGCAAACATATACATACATACTCAAACGCAAGCGGAGAAAGATGAAAGTTCGTAGGTACTCTCTCGCAGCATATCGCAAGCAAGGGGACCTTCTTAAACAAAAAATAAAAAATAAACGCAAAAAAAAAACAAAAAAAAATGCCAAATACCAGCCTGTGCAAGACTGAAGTAACTTTTTATATAAAAATTGTATATAAGTTTGTACAATTTATGCGGTCGATTAACGCAATGAGTCAGAAGCGCATGCGCAACTTGCTCCATAATCCCCCCTCCAACGAATTGAATTTGTCCCAAAGCTCAGCCATGCAAGATCTTGAACAGGGCGTGTAATTTAAATGTAGCAATGAACAAAAGAAAGAAAAAATAAATAAAGGTCTTTGTGTTGCACAGGATTATCTTTCGAATGCCTTTGGCTTGAGTGCAAGTTTGTGTAAGTAATGAAGCAATGTTAGGCCTGCGGACTGCTGCAAATGATTATAATTTTATTTCTCTTCTTGGATGCTGTCGCACTAACTATGCGGCATAAATGCGTGCACGGCAAATAAAAGAAATTCACGC